ACTGCAAATGCCTGAAGAGCTGCACTGGTGCAATGGCTCTCAAGCTTGACGATATTGGGTAGTGCAGAAGAATGCAGTCATTTGAGCTGCACTTTCCTCCCAGCCGTGCTGAAGCTGGGATTGACGTTGCAATCTCTTGCAGGTGGGAGACCTCGTGTGCGTCATCGATATGCCGCCTCAGGAGCTGAGCCCCCACTGGAGAGGCAAGCACGGCTTTCAGGTAGGCACAAGCTTCAGACGTGAGAGCGCAACTTCGGTCGAGGCAGGAATCTCAGCTTAGAGCTGCCCTGCCTGCACAGCATGGCTCCACATGGAAAGTGGTTTCCTTGTGCTGGTGTCAGAGGACTTTGCCTTTTGCTGTGGGCTTAGGCCAGAGCTGAAAGTTGGTCTTTGTAGGAAACTGCCTCCTCAATTAACTTAGAAAGAAGAGCCCTCACAGCATGCATCAGGTCACGGCCACTGAACCGCACTTTTGGAAATGCAGCAGCTAGGACACGTGTTTCAGTGTCTCTGAGCTCTTGTGCTTGCACCCATGCAGAAGGTGAAGTCAGTGTCTTTTAGGAAGTCGCTGCCTGTCAGCTGAGATGAGGCAGGGTAACAGAGCCTCTGTGTGCTTGCTGCTGCTGGCTGCAGAACGCTGGGTAGCTCAGAGCTGGGGATGGCAGCTGCATCTCAGTCAGCAAGCAGAAAGTTCATAGGCTGTGCAAACTCAGATCTAGCTGCATCAATCTATCATAATATATATCTTCTGTATGAAGTCTTTCCCTTTGGGCACGCTTGAGATTTAGGGGTGCATAGCATACTTGTCCTTTCCCCGCTCCATACACAGTTTTATGGATATTTGCCTGCCAATTTGGAATAATTACTAATTTTAAGCAGGCCATTTTTTTGTTGGATTGTCTTACGGAGCATCCGGCAGGCACGTTATGAGGAAAATGTGATGTTTGAACATTTCAGGCCTGAGAAACGCTGCCTTCAGTATCGCACCTCTCTTCTTCTTCTTGTTACAGGTTGGATTTTTCCCTGGGGAGTGTGTGGAGCTCATTAACGGAAAAATCCCAGAGTCTCTCATCAATTCAGTGCCAAAGCCAGGTACGGATGATACATTTGGTGGTGCAGGGAAGCAAAATGGAGTCTTTTTTGGGTGTGTTGCGTGTTTAATACCTCCCTTATCCTTCCCACGTTATCCTCTGTGCTGATGATCCTTCATGCATAGCACGGGGTGTATGGCTGGTGTTTTGTAGGCAGTGAGAATGAGGGAAGGCAAAGGTAGTTCTCCTGCAAGTCAGTACGAGGCTGAGAACAGCCAGCGTCCCTGGTGGACAGATAGAGGTCTGGTTGTGCTAGTGCTTCTGTGCTTGATCAGAATGTGGCTTTTCAAGAGGGTCCTTAATGCCCAGGTTGAGCAAGCTAAGCAAGAGGAGTGCATTAAACTCCATCAGAACGTGCAGAGATTTGGCCCAGTCCTCCTGTGTTTATGACTGGAGTTGGGGAAATCCTAGAATCCTTGTAGAATGGCTTGGCATGGAAGGGAGCTCAAGGATCATCAAGCTCCAAGCCCCCTGCCTCAAGCTGGGCTGCCAACCAAGCTCCACATTTAATGTGGGACTGGACCAGGCTGCCCAGGGCCCCATCCAGTCTGGCCTTGGACTCCTCCAAGGATGGGGAAAATCCATTTTGGTACACACTTGCTCATCATGTTCTTCCCCTTTTGAGGTGCTCTGTAGAATGCGTTGTGCTCGGCCTCGTCCAACGGAGCCAAACCTGAGATGAACTGGTTTCTTCCTTTTGTTGTGCAGTGCCAAAGAAGCGCGGCAGGCTCCTCACCTTCCTTCGTTCCGTGGTGAAGGCCCGCCCAAAGCAACGGAAAGAGCGGGAGGTGGAGAAGGAGAGGGTGTTCGGCCGTGACCTGGGAGAGCATCTTCTCCACTCTGGTCATGATGGTAAGGGACAGCCCATTCCTGAGAGCCTCCCTGTTTGGGAACCTAAAGATGAAAGGGAGATGGTATCTAGCAAGGGGCAGGTTGATACCAGTGGAGAAACGGGGAATGGGAGTTGACGACTGAAAGATCAACGAGTAGGTGATGGCTGCAAGGGAAATGCTCCTAAGGGACAAGCACATCTGTATTTGCTTAAAGCAAAGCCTGTAAGCCAATCCCCTGGTAGCCTGAAAAGAAAGGAAGCCTTTTGGCCAAAGAGAGTGTCCTGCATCAGTTTCCCAGCTCCTTCCGGGCGTGAGATTTTCCACCTCCGTTCCCGTGGGAGCTGTGATGGGACTTGCAATGTCTGCGGCTTCCCCAGAATTACTTTCTCCAGGCTGATTCCTAGGTCCTGGCATTTCTGGAAT